ACGCATAATATCATTTAACAACCTCATATTTCATAGCAAGTCTATCTTCAAAGGTTTATAAGTTACTGTTAAAAATAATTTTCTTTAAGGAGAAAATGATTTTTACTTCTGGAAACCTGGCTCTTGTGCTCTACGCACACAGCAATCATAGGGTGGGGCTAAGTAAACGTACCGTATTGTCCCATACTCTGCGTTTATAAAAGAGGGTCATGAGCGTGGGGTCTGTTTTGCATATGGGACTTCCTAAAGCACAATCTCCCACTACAGAGTCGGTCTCCCCCTTTCCCAACCTATATATGGATACATCTCAAGAACTGTTTCTTTAACGGCGCTCTGGAGATTTACTGGGAGTTTGGCTCATTCACACAAGTGTAATTCTCCACAGAGCGCCAGGCCGAGCAGCCAGACAGACTTCCTACTCATCTACCGAGTTGGCAGTTGACCAATGAGAACTGTTGCGCTTTCACACTGTCATAATAATAACAGCAGCCGCTCAGAATGATCACAACTGAAGGAGCTGGAGTTTCTCGCTCACAGCTACTCGTGATGTCGGTCTGGGAGGAGATCAGATTCGTCTTCCAAAACTATGTGACAATGATCATGGGAGTTGTGGGGATGATCGTACTCGTGCGTCGATCAGATACACACCCTTTTAAGAACAGACGGATCCAAGTATTTGCAACACGTTCTTCCCTCACATTCCTACATTTTCCAGCAAAACTCCTTCATCCAAGGCAAACAAACTCAGAGACATAGTGAAAATATGGTTTCTGCAATTATTTCTACAACAGAATAATGTATTCTTAAAATGAAGACAAGCACAACTTCCCACTGAGACATGCCCGGTAAAACAAGAACCGTGGCGATATCGTGGTACATTAATGGTACTAAATGATAATACCATACCACCATGGCATATTGAATGATTTATGATCATGGCATTTTACATGGTTCTCCAATGTACTTTAGAAAACATGTCAAAAACAAAAAAACAAAAAAACACTGATGTCAGATTGTTTCCACCACTGATAAAAAAATAATTGTGACTCTCACAATTGCGAGATATGAAGTCAGAATTGTGAGAAATAGTCGCAATTGCGAGATATAAAGTTGCAATTCTGATAAATAAAGTCGCAATTGCGAGATATAAAGTCGCAATTCTGAGAAATAAAGTCGCAATTGTGAGACATGTGTCTCAATTGTGTTGCAAAAAGTTGCAATTCTGATAAAGAGTCACAATTGCGAGACATAGTCACAATTCTGAGAAATAGTCGCAATTGCGAGAGTTGCAATTCTGATAAAGAGTCGCAATTGCGAGACAAAGTTGCAATTCTGAGAAATAAAGTCGCAATTGCGAGATAAAAAGTTGCAATTCTGATAAAGAGTCACAATTGCAAGACAAAGTCGCAATTCTGAGAAATAAAGTCGCAATTGTGAGATAAAAAGTTGCAATTCTGATAAAGAGTCACAATTGCGAGACATAGTCACAATTCTGAGAAATAGTCACAATTGCGAGAGTTGCAATTCTGATAAAGAGTCGCAATTGCAAAACAAAGTTGCAATTCTGAGAAATAAAGTCGCAATTGCGAGATAAAAAGTTGCAATTATGATAAAGAGTCACAATTGCAAGACAAAGTCGCAATTCTGAGAAATAAAGTCGCAATTGCGAGATAAAAAGTTGCAATTCTGATAAAGAGTCACAATTGCGAGACAGTCACAATTCTGAGAAATAGTCACAATTGCGAGAGTTGCAATTCTGATAAAGAGTCGCAATTGCAAAACAAAGTTGCAATTCTGAGAAATAAAGTCGCAATTGCGAGATAAAAAGTTGCAATTCTGATAAAGAGTCACAATTGCAAGACAAAGTCGCAATTCTGAGAAATAAAGTCGCAATTGCGAGATAAAAAGTTGCAATTCTGATAAATAAAGTCGCAATTGCGAGATACAAAGTCGCAATTGTGAGAAATAAAGTCGCAATTGTGAGATAAAAAGTTGTAATTGCGAGACATAGTCACAATTCTGAGAAATAGTCGCAATTGCGAGAGTTGCAATTCTGATAAAGAGTCGCAATTGCGAGACAAAGTTGCAATTCTGAGAAATAAAGTTGCAATTGCGAGAAAAAAAGACAGAATTGAGACTCTCACAATTCTGACTTTTTTCTCACAATTATGACTTTATAACAGATAATTGCAAGTTTACATCTCCGAATTTTGAGTTATAAACTCGCAATTGCGAGTTATCAGGCCAATTCTAAGAAAGAAAAGACTAACTTTTCCCCCCTCAGAATAGTTTATATCTCACAATTCTGACTTTATAACACGCAATTCTGACTTTATCTCGCAATTCTGACTTTATAACACGTAATTGCGACTTTACATCTCGCAATTGTGAGAAAAAAAAGTCAGAATTGTCGCAATTACCTTTTTTATTTTTCATTCTGTGGCAGAAACAAGCTTTCATAGTTTATACTAATATACACGCGAAAGTATTTTTAGTAAAATATATCACTGTTTTAACTGTATTAGTGATTAAATACAAGCAGCCTTGGTGAGTAGAAGAGTCTTTCAAACCCCAGCCTTTCAATAAAAAAATCAATGCTGCTAACAATTAATGATTAAACCCATTCAATGACGTCTCCAACTAGGCCTCTTTTAAACAGCAAATCTATTGCTTTAAGAGCGATCAAACATATCTGATACAGTTATATCGATTGCAGATCTAAGTGCACTTTAGGGTAATAACTTTAAATGTGTGAACTAAAATATGCAAGGAGGATAAAAATGCTTCAAAATAACAGCCTACATGCTGTTTTTATGAGTGATAATGGAAACTGTTCGAGCGAGCGCTTTATAATCCAGGTTTGTTTGATCCTCTTCACCAACAGACAGTGATATTTCTACTCCACATTTATTATCCCTTCTTTAAGGTCAACATCAGATTATTCATGAATGATGTGCTCTTCAAACACAGATTGACTGAACAAGATATCATCATGCACTGCAGAACAATAGCTAGTAACCCACACAATTTAAAGCACCATTCATGTGCAAACAGAGCAGGACAACCACCAATGTCAAGGGTTTGTACAAATCCCTAACCCATGAGCAACTGTAATTGATTGAGCAAACACCACTAGTTATTAAAGAAGACCTTCACCAGGGACGGCCCTTCCAGTGCATCAGCAACGTTAGCGAGTATGGTGGTCAGCACACATGCAACTGAACTCCAGACACATTTAATTGGATTTCACAGTGCAGTGCTTGAGTAAATATCCCAAACAGACAGACCCTCAAGTAACCACACAGTCGAGTACAAACATGGCAGCGTAGCACCAAAAAGACACACGAGGACGACGAGGCTTCGCTTCAAGGTCTCTGCTGTTGCCTTATCAGCAAGTGAGCAGCGGAGCATGTGAATATCATTACATGCACAACGAACATCTGACGAACTGCATCACAAACACCCTTTCTCTACTGCAAACTGTTTCATCAAGATACTCATTCCATGCTCTTTCTACATTTATATGAAACAGGAATCACATGAAAATGTCAGTCTGCTGGTAGGGCATTGATTAAGTGACATGCTGTCCTCTGAGACAAACGTGCGCTGGCAGGAGAATACATTATGCCACTTTGACTGATGACCTTGTCTTCAAGCACATTCATTCAGAGCACAATTGCTTCAGTGTTACGCAGGATAAATAAGACAAATGCTGATTTCTTTCCAGTAATCATTAAAACCAGCTTAATGTAGTGTAAAGGTGATTTTTCTGGGACTCAACCGTACAATATAAACACAAGGACAGGAGTGGTGGCATTTTTCTAGTCTTGAAGACATCCGGAGTCAAGAGCATTTCGACATCAAGCATTCCAAGTATTCAACGTCTATGTTTCAAGTTAACGTCAACACAAATGCGTTACTAGTTTTCCCTTTAGATTAAGCTTTTGTCCAAAGCGATTTACAGTTGGGTGAGTTATGGTTATGTGTCACGATGTTGGGCACATTTTCTCTATAGGAATATTGCTAATATCTGTTGTCAACGTGATTATGCCGGGCTGTCATGTGATTGATTGAAGTGTGAGTTTTTTGTTCTGGAGTGTTGAGGCAACAATTGTAGTAAATTACAGAACTAATACACTAATTTACCCTACATTTACTACACGTTCTGTCCTTCTGGAGTCACCAGAGGTTAAGTATCTTACTCAAGGACACAACGGACATAGTTTGTGTGTCTACCCTTGTGAGGTTTCAAACTCCAAGCTTTGTTTTTTTTTGGATCAATGCTGATGTGATGTACGTGATGCAAATATACTATAAGTGCAACTCAACTATATCACACTCACACACACACAAAAAAATTAACAATTTTTCAATTAAAAATCATTCAAAAGTAAAAAGTAAAAATGGTCATGGTGGTCTAACCATAAAGATTTATACTAAAAGGCTGATTTTCTTAGAAAAAACTTAAGTATGGCATAATCTTTCGTCATATAAAAAGTAAAGTGTCACCCAAATTAAAGTCAGTGTGGCATAACCAACACACAGGAAGCCATTTTGTTGTCATTTGACAATAAAACCATCAAAACAGACAGGACCTCATGACTGTGACATTAAAACATATTTTTGAAAAGTCACAGTAATCTTGAAGAAAACGTATTCAAACTTGAACAAAAATAGCCTATTTGAAAACGGTGGTTACATCACTTGACATTTTTATAGGTGCAATAAATCACTTTTTATGTAGAAAATAGCTTAAACAACAAAAATATTAAATTGTACTTTTCCAAGAGGTTGGTGCCAACATTTTTCTAAGAATTCTCCTTCCTATCATCATTATTTGTCACTGACGCATCTAAGTTTGCATCAGTGTCACCTCTGTTGTGTCTAAAGAAGCTTTGGCAGTAGCTACTGCATGAGAAACCAAAACACTCTTGCTACTTAAAGGATATTCAAACTGGGTTCAGAGCATATTTACAGAGTGATTTAAGATCCAGACTCACCTGTTCTGCGCAGGGCTGGCTGTGGACTGGACAAGCCGCTGCTGATGTGGTAAGAGAAGCGCATGCTTTTGAACTGGTTTGAATAGGAGGATGAATTGTGCGGACTGGAGCTGATGAGATGCGCGCTCTTGGGTCGATTCAACTGCATCCCTGCCTGCAAAACCCTCACGCAGGCATCAGATGCGGGCTATTTCCAGGGAACGGGCTCTATATTCCAGGTCCAGATATAAAAGCCGTATCTTCAAAATAGTCCAGGTGCAAAACGGCCACCTCCTCCTCCTCCTCCTGTAGATGCTGGATAAGGCAGATCGATCCCCCCTGATCAGCCGGTGGAGAGTCAATCCGATCCAAGTCGCTTTGAGCAACAGAAACAGCCATCAACGATCAGTTTCACCAGAACCACATACAAGTCCAAGCAAATGTGATGTAAAGAACTCCCAATACGCAATGACCTTTAGGAAAAGCAATCATCCTCGTATGCCATTTGCAGTCAAAGGCGCTCACAGAATGTACACAAACAGACGCAATGAATAACGTCCATACATTATGAATCCCTATTGGCGTTATTTACATGACGTTTCCGATGCAAAACAGCTTTGAATAACCACATTGGTTCTGTTCGCGTTTTAAAACGAACTTTCCCGTTAAACTTCTTTCGGAATGTAAAAGACGCCGCATATTGCCGTTCCAACGGTTTTCCCCTCCGTTTCCTCTCGGACTAACCGTATCCCAAAATATGCACACTCAGCTGCTTTAAACACAATTCACACTCGCGGTTTGAAAACTCCTCCGACTGTCCGGGTCTTTTAAACGAGATTCTAACGCTAAACGAACGTTCCAATTTCGCGACGTTCCATTGTTAAAATTCCACAATTCCGCTCTTGTCGCTCTCCACCGGTTGCTCGTCTGTTCTTTTGTGGGACTCGACAACGCCAAAGTGTGTTAAACTGAAAACCTCCTCCTTCTCCTCCTCCACCAGGACATATGAAACCAAGCTTCAACCCCCTCCATCTCTCTCTCTCCTCTTTTCCCGAAGTCTGTTTCTCATTTTTTTCCCCTCCCTCTCTCCCTTTCTTTTCCTAAGAAATCTGAGGCAGGGGGAAAACTTTCAAAGGATTTGAACGTGAAAAGAAACTCCTGTGTGTCCTAATCGGGAAGATCGTTTATATTTCATAAATTAAACATTTACAGTCCATAAAAATATGTGGGTTTTTTTGGAGGGGAGCTGAAGTGGTTGTAAACATGGACTGTCCCGTTTGACCTACATTGCACCAGTAGCTCAAGTTGAAGAGGTTTCAGAGAGAGGGAAGAAAAAAAAAATCATTCAACTTTTAGCCAGTTTTGCATTTGGGCGGATATAATTGGGTGTCATTAGGTTAATAGCACTCCATTGTTATATAACCTTTTATGGCACATGATTCATATGACTGCATTTAAGATTTAACTAATCGCAACATGTTTTTTAAATACTAGGATTGTCAAACGATTAATCGTGATTAATCGCGTCCAAAATAAAAGTTTGTGTTTGCATAGCCTAATATATGTGGGTGCACTGTGTATAATTATTTTGTGTGTGTGTGTGTGTGTGTGTGTGTGTATATATATATATATATATATACACACATGCATGTATATTTCAGAAAAAAAATATTCATATATAAAATATTGATAGTTATATGTAATATAAATTATATGTAAATCTATTTACAGTATATATATGAAAATATTTCTTAAATATTTACAAGCATGTGTGTGTATTTATATATATAAAATAATTATATACAGTGCACCCACATATATTATGTAAACACAAACTTTTATTTCGGATGCGATTAATCGCAATTAATCGTTTGACAGCCCTATTAAATACACATTTAAAATAGTCCAACATTATTTAATAACTCATATTGTCATGCAAATACTGTTCAAAGCTCACTGGTCCAAACAAAAAGATGTCATTTCCTCTAAGCAATATGTAATTTAATATATTTTTCAATTGTTATCTCAGAGTAAAAAAATAACTTTGACATGCCGCTGACAGGTTTTTTTTTTTATATATATATTACCCCGACCCTTTGGCTTTCTGTCAGCAGTGTGAACCGTTTTCCCATAAATGAACATGTTATGGGTGGAACGAGCGCCATCAAACTCTGCAATGTTTATACAAGTTGAGTTGAGCCAGTAGATTCTGTCCAGCTGCAGGACTGGATCTCTTCACACGTCTCTCCATGAAATGCATTTTTTGGATGTTTATCATCATTGCATGTATAATGAGGTTCAGACGATTTCAAATCTATTCCTGCATCTCTCATATAACACAGAATTCAATCCATAGTTGACTTAAAGAGCAAAAAGGACCTACCACTAACTACAGTATTGACTAGTTAAGGTGGTTTGAGCCTTTTCTATAATTGGTGGCGTCAATTACACAGTTTGACCATTAGATGTCAGTCTTGCATAGAAAGTCAGATAAACAATTTACCTGTCATACTCGTAGTAGAGGGGAAGACGTTTTCTGAGACAGTAGTTAAAACCGAGAGTTTCTTTAAATTGTTTCACTGGAATTTATTTATTGGATATGTAAAAACAGAACAATTAAAACAACATACATTAAGATTGGATGAAATGTCCTTGATCTTTCTGTCCTTCAGTTCTTTCTGATGCCATCTCTGCCATCAAACGATCTGATCCAGTCGTTAGCAATAAAACATTTTCCAGATATCCTGCATCAGTCCTTCACTCGGCTAACTTCTGAACCGCACAACGATTTCCGGCTTCTCAGGCTATACCTCGGCTGCTGGGGAAACGATGCAAATATATTAGCAAATGGACATTTGCAATCAAAACACAGCTGGGCAAAAACTATAAACCATAATTGCTTTGTTAGAAATGGACCAATATTATTGAGAAAACCACTAGAAATGTGTTCATACAGCTGAGAATTTCAAATATCAGAAATGGCTGATAGTTCATCAAAATTAACTAATCTTTTTCCGAGTCAATTCGTTCGTTTTGTTAATGAATGAACCAAATGACTCGGAAAAAGATTCGTTCATTTTGATGAACGAGTTCAAACAGGAGAGTCACACAGAACAGAGCAAGACGAGCATTTGAGCTTATAAAACTTAAACTTTGTTTTTTTTTTTTTTTAAATGAGCGATCGTTTGGCTTGATAAGACCCTTATTCACCGTCTGGAATCGTTTAAAGCCCTTTGAACAGTTTGCAATTTGCACTGAAACTGTCTTTTGGAGCTTGAACCGTTTGGTTTCCACTGAAGTCCATTATATGGAGAAAAATCCTGGAATGTTTTCACCAAAAACATTCATTTCAAATTTAAAAACATTAGAAAGATATGGACATCTTGGATGACATGGCGGTGAGTAAATTATCAGCAAAAGTTTTTTTTTTTTTAAAGTGAACTACTCCTTTAAGGACTTATGAGCCTGCACACCATCTAGAGTTTCATGACAGAACTTTGTATTAAAGGGGTCATTATCAAGGTCGCTGACTGTACTATGAAACACACTCCAACTTCAAAACTTATTTAATAATAAACTTCCTGGAATGAAACCACATTAAGGTGAGTAAATAATGACAGAAATATCCCTGAAACACGATATGTATTGTTGTGCTACAGTACCTCATTGTCATCCACCAGCACACTGTAGACCGTGGCGGAAGACATCCGAAAACGAGACCCTGAGCTGCGCCGCTGACGTCTCTTCGGGGCTTCTGAGGTGCCTTGTGTCTCGTGATGTCTGGCTGATGATGACAATACAAATTTGCATTGGAATTAGGATTCATTTAAAGGGATACTTCAGGATTTAACATTAAGCTTTGTGTTAGTAGAGAACCTGTAGTATTTTCGAATTACTATCCCCCTGAGACGAGAGATTGTCTGGAAAAAATCCTCAGATGACGCAAGAATTGTCATTTTGCCCTCACTCGTCCCGCTCGCCACAGTAAACATAATGAATGGCGACTGTACAACGCAAAAGCCAAATCTCTGACATTTTGGGCGATCTCGAAACACATTTTCGGGCAGACTCATCATCACGGAGACTCACTAGTAGTCTAGACTATTTGTCCAACTACTGCGCTCTGTTACCGGTAGGCGTGGCTTCCTAGGGCAGCGAAGCAAGTGCATTCTGGGAGTTGTTGTCTTTCATCCATATAAGCCAAAAATACATTTTCTGGCTTTTCTCAGTCTAGAAAGCTCCCAATTCAAAAATAATTTAACATTTCTTCAACATAAATGACCCATTTTTAAATACACATTCATCTTTCCAGAGGTCAAGTACCCCTTTAACAGGGTTTCTGCAGTTTTTATGAAGGTAATTTTAAAGTCCCCCTGTATTCAATAATTGTATCACTTAAAACTCATCTTTGATCACCAAAAAAAAAAAAAAACCTGAAAAAAATTCTTTATGCCTTAAAATAGCTTGAATGCAACTCTATGCCTCATTTAGTATAATTAGTTATATGAATATGCAAATGAGCCCCATCTCCACTCACGCAAGCTCACAGATTCACGGGTTGAGGATCACAAGTCGACAAATATCAGAAAATCGGCTGAATGGATTCGAAAATGGTAAAACTCAACATGGGGGAGTTGTAAAATGAGCCTATTTCCAAAAAAGAAATAGGAGAAAATACTCAGCAATGGTGTTGACTTATGAATTTACACATGGTTTGTCTCAAAGCATATAAACAACCACAGACAAACAACATTAAAAACTTGATTGTCACCACAGAGGGACTTTAAGACTTTTTAAAGACCTTTTTAAGACCAAGTAAAGAAAATGTAAGGAATAAATTGACAACTGTCAAACGATTCTTAAATCAAGATACACACATGATATGCAAAACAACAAAATATAAAGTTTGCTTTCTGTGAAAATGATTAAAATGAAGCAAGATTATAATTAAAACAAGAAGAAATGTCTGTCAATGCGCTCATTCAAAAGGATGTTTTCATAACTCATTGAGTATAAACTCACTTTGATTTGAAGACTTCATTGTACATTTGTATCTCAAGTAAATGCACCTTGATTTAAAGATGTTTCTATATTCCCATTGGAATCAGGACAAAAATACTGAGGAAGCAACATTTAATTCCATGACTTTCTGCTTTCATTTAAAAGGTTATTTGTAAAAGGTGAATTAAGACTTTTTTAGGCCCACGGAAGCCCTGTTTAAGGCTAATTCAACATATTAGAGTGATATCTGAAATATTAGTCCATATTACATAATGCTGAACTGCATATCTTTCATAAAACAAATTTACATCACCATCTGAGCACAGGTCACCTTGTGAAACATGCAGATTGACTCCTGCTCAGATTAAAATGTCAACACTTTTCGAAGCAGTGCTTACTGTCACGAGCCGGAGAGAATGTCGACAGGGCCGCGCTCACGACGCTAGAGGGATGCAGAATCACTAAACTGTCATCTCTCTCATCCCACTTGCTTTCCCAGTGTTTTCGTCTGGACCTCTTCCATTCATCCACAGACGCCGAGATGCATTCTAGAAGGCATCACATGAAAGATCAAGAACAAATTCTGGAACTAAACCCTTTAAATGTCAATGAAGCTGCTCTCTTGGAGATACCTGCTTTCTGCAAGGCCTGTTGAAGATCAGAGCGGGTCTCTTTGAGCTCCTTGAGAATTTCAAGACTCTCTCGGCTGATATTTCGGTAGCGCAGAGAAAAGTACAGCAGAACAAGGCAGCCAACAAGGACCATGGTTTTTCTTAGAAGCCCGACTAAAAAAGTGATTTTCTCCTATGCAAAAAAAAATCCCGATAAAACCATGATTGACAGTATGCGGATTCATTTTTTATTTAATTTAGCAAATTTTAATTCCACACATTTTAAACCTAGACAACTGTGGCGGTGCTGACTGAATAATATTTACATACTTGTCGTTTAATGAA